TTATTTGAAACTATTTTTCTTTTAGGATTTCCTTTTAAACATATACCCTCCTGGCGTATCTAAAGAATATTTTTAAATTATCATTTTTTAAAGTCAAACTTACACTGAAATATATTAGAGAATTTTCAAGTTTTCATCTGAAATCAAGAAAATGCAATATTTAAACAAAATAGTGACAATACTTGAAAAAAGTCGCGTCATGACGATATGGGTTTTACAAGAGTTTCAGATGATGTGTTTCAAAGATGGCTCTGCGTAGTCTTACGAACACTCGCAAGCGATTGATCCTAGTATTACCATTTCTTATGAGAGTTAAATTAGGTTGGCCAGGAACTTAAGCCAAAATATTGTTCCCCCACTTTTTTTTTTATAAATTGTGAACAACATTATATTATCTACTAGGATATTTCGGTCACTGTGTCGTGCCAGTATTTTTTTTCTAATCAAAATCCATCTTGAACATTTATAAATCATTCGTCCGTGCATTTAATACTGTTACCATATCTGGCCTGGTCCACTTCCTGTACATATCGAGACTCTTGACAGAATCCCAAACTAAAAAATATCATGTAAATCCTCAAAATGTAATACAATCAGTCTTGGCAAGGTATCTCGATTTCACTCATTTTCTCACCGACGTGGCGCGGCTGCCCTCTGTCTTTTCTACAAATATTTTCATGGCAACTTTCCTAACAAGCTTTTCTCCTGATGCCCTGAATACATGAATTTAAGCGTGCTACTAGATTGGTAATTAGGTCCCACTCATTTACCGGTGAAATAGCGAAATGTCATTCTACTCTAACAGTTTCTTTTTTCGCAAATCCTGCCTTTACGTTAAATTTTATAAAATATTTATTTCAAAACAATATTAAAAATTTTTAAAGTCCAAAATATTATTGGTGAAGGTTTCAAAACAATATTTGATATAGGGGTGGAACATCAACATCTTGATTATGTCATTATTTTCTTTTCTCAAGTCCAGTAGCTGTTATCGCTCTTTCCAGTATTGATGGTGGTTTCCTTCCTAACCTTTTGTTTGATATAGGGTGGAACATCAACATCTTGATTATGTCATTATTTTCTTTTCTCAAGTCCAGTAGGTTTCGCTTTCCAGTATTGATGGTGGTTTCCTTCCTAACCTTTTGTTTGATATAGGGTGGAACATCAACATCTTGATTATGTCATTATTTTCTTTTCTCAAGTCCAGTAGCTGTTATCGCTCTTTCCAGTATTGATGGTGGTTTCCTTCCTAACCTTTTGTTTGATATAGGGTGGAACATCAACATCTTGATTATGATTATTTTCTTTTCTCAAGTCCAAGCTGTTATCGCTCTTTTCCAGTATTGATGGTGGTTTCCTTCAAACCTTTTGTTTGATATAGGGTGAACATCAACATCTTGATTATGTCATTATTTTTTTTCTCAAGTCCAGTAGCTGTTATCGCTCTTTTTCCAGTATTGATGGTGGTTTCCTTCCTAACCTTTTTGTTTGATATAGGTGGAACATCAACATCTTGATTATGATTATTTTCTTTTCTCAAGTCCAGTAGCTGTTATCGCTCTTTCCAGTATTGATGGTGGTTTCCTTCCTAACCTTTTGTTTGATATAGGGTGGAACATCAACATCTTGATTATGTCATTATTTTCTTTTCTCAAGTCCAGTAGATGTTATCGCTCTTTCCAGTATTGATGGTGGTTTCCTTCCTAAACTTTTGTTTGATATAGGGTGGAACATCAACATCTTGATTATGTCATTATTTTCTTTTCTCGAGTCCAGTAGATGTTATCGCTCTTTCCAGTATTGATGGTGGTTTCCTTCCTAACCTTTTGTTTGATATGGGGTGGAACGGCAATATCCGGATTATGTGTTTTATTTTTTCTTCGGGTTACTTGTACTATACAGTTTAGTTGTTGCTGTTGATGGTGATGTGTTTTTTTTTGTTTTTGTACATTCTCTTCTGCTTCCTTTCTTTTCTGATAACTACAATCTTCAAAAATATATATGCAATTTGAATCGCCATCTTTTGTCTTCTTGAACCGCGTTCATCTTTTGTCCTTTTCCTAATCCTCCTTATTCTCAATCTTCTCTTTCACTCCATATAACTCCTGCGTCGTAGTGGCATTCTCGCCTTGCTTGGAATACCATGATTAAAAAAGAAACCCAAGAAATTATTTTTCAAACAAAATGAGCGAACTTATCAAGGACCACTCTTAAAACAAATATGATTCTGTGGATATGGTATATTTCAAAGGCAGCCTGTTATGGTGAACTACTTCTGTAGAAATAAAAAGACTGATTCGAACATACACTGTTCTCATTTATAATGTTCCTTGGGGGTAACGTTCGATAGCATATTTATTTCCCGACTAGGCACATATTGTTACAACTTGACTGTGGAAATTTCACTCATCCGTGGTAATTGAGCCTTCAAATTACACATTATTATTATTTTTTGTTTATTGTTTTCATGTTTAAGCATACTTGTGTTTTCTTCCCCACTCACCGTTAGTGATTTGTAAAAAACAACAACATAGTTTACAAATTCAAGTGCCCTTTGGGAGATTGTATCTCCAGTGGATTAAATAATATTTATGTTGGTCACACCACAAACTCGCTTTCACGACGATTGACTCTACAATTGAATGATAACTCTAAAATTTTTAGGCATTTAAAACAACATACCTGGCCGCATACACAATTCTGGAAAATCCTTGTTGAAAAAAAAACTATACTTAAACATGAAAACAACAAACAAAAACTAAAAATCCTTGAAGCTATATTTTATAAAACAGTTGAAACCTAACCTGAACAAAATAAACTATGAAATCACCACGAATATTCTTAAATGCCTATAATTGATAACAGAAGCCATTGGTTTATACCAACGGCTTTCCATACTTAATACTTGTCGTTTTCACTTTCGTGTGGTCATGTGTGACGTCACGAGCTGCGACGTGATTTTCGCTTCCGCGTCTTGTATATACGAGTTTGTCGTTGCTTTGAAATCTTTCATGCAACAAAAACAGACTATCATTATTGTTTTGTCCATGTATTGTTTGATATATTGAAATGTAATTGTCATCTTTGATAATGGCTTATGTAAGCCGAAAGCTTAGATTGGATTTACCCATGTATCAATATGGTGATTTCCTTTCGTCTTTCAAGGATAATGTTATTAAGCTTATCAGACAATATGAAAGGAACTTACTTAAAATAAATAGACAAAACTTGTCAATACTATTTAATGAAACATGCATTGATATATATATATATATATATATATATATATATATATATATATATATATATATATATATATATAAACCTAGTGAGCCAGACAAACCTACCCAGGTTTCACCTATGCGGATCGTCAGGGAAAGCTGGTTAAAGAGGCAAAAGAGAAAAAGCATATTTATAGGCGATAATCAAAATCATACCACGTGACCAAACAAAAAGAAAAACAAGAAAAACACAACACCATTAATGATTTATTAAACGACTAAAAGGGGAGGGGATTTTTAAGAAAACACGAACAATAAAGGTGGAATGGCAATATAAACAGGGGAGATTAATAAATCATAACCCCCCCACTTCGTTTAATAAATCATTACCCACCCACCGGTGTTGTTTTTTTCTTGTTTTTCTTTTTCTATATATATATATATCGGTTATAATTAAAGATTTCTCTTTGCAGTTGGGTTTCTTTGCTAGCGCAACATAGCAAAAAAAAAAGAAAAAAAGAAAAAAACAAACGGTACATCGTACCGAGCATTTTATTATTATTAGGGCAACTCTGTTTAAACACTCGAAAAATAATGCTATTTCCAGTCCACAACTGAGTGATTTGTATTTTTTACGGTTTATCACACTTTTACTGGTTATTTAAATCCAGGAAATATTTTCAGATTGCTGACTCTATGAAGAGTGAAGTGTTGTCCATGTTCACCATAGTCTATGAATATAGAATACAGTGCAGTACGTAATCTGTTCAATGAAACAACGTTAAAGATTAACACTCACGAGTCAGGCACTCTACTGAATCTGACTTCGATATCAAAGGCTGGTAGTGAATATTCGGGAAAAGCATGGCCGCCTTTATACACGTCGCATTGAATATTTTGAGGCTTCTGATTGGTTAACCCTTCTATTGGTGAAATATAAAATGAGTCAGCTCATTTTGGCTGGCTCACTAATACACCAGGGTACCCAAAAATTCCAACATGAAGATTTTCCCAAAAATATCAAAATACAAAGATCTTGAAGTGGGAATCTAAAACATGTGTCACATGAGGATATCAATAATTCCACTTGTAGTTGGAGCCCTCAGTTTCATTGGAAAAATTTTCTAATAGACTCACTGAAGAAATAACTATTAGGACATACTTTAAAGAAATAAAAAAAAACTGTACTCACAAGTACAGCTCACATCTTAGGAAGGGCTTTACCAAAATATGTGTGCTTTTAGGTTAAAACTGTTCAGTGTATAATGCCATGATGTTATATCTAACCTTAGGTTTCTGGTTGGGACCCGGATGGAAATGAGTAGACAACAGAAATCAAAGGAAATAATTATAATAGCCACGTAATCAGTCAGTTAATTGCCTTACGTGATACACGCTTGGTCGATCATGTTTCTTTCGATTCATAACTGACTAAGCAGAAGATTTTCCCTCAGTAAGTTGCCGTTTCTTTTTGGAGTAGACTGGTTGCCAACCAAGGCTACAGAACTGAGTCTGTCCTGCTAATCACTTATATCTGGGAATAGAAGAGATACTTTTCCGCGTAAATGAATATAAATGGAATATGGATGTCAGCTCTCGAATGTCTCATCCCCAGCAGATATCAATTACACCCCACCCAGCGTGCATCCAGCCACCCTAAATTATTACGATAAAACTTATGGCTACATCTTGCTATTTCAAAAGTAAAAAAAAAAAATTAAACCGATTCGCCAATCTTATAGTGAGCTTAACTACATAACTATCAAAGTCTTTTCATAGACGTCTCACTTTCTTTCTTTCTTTCTTTCTTTCTTTCTTTCTATCTATCTATCTATCTATCTATCTATCTATCTATCTATCTATCTATCTATCTATCTCAGGCTGTTCTTTATTTCACTCTGTGTCAATCTATCTACCTATTTATCTAGCTCAGGCTGTTCTTTATTTCTTTCTCTCTCCCTCTGTGAAAGTATCTATCTATCTATCTATCTATCTATCTATCTATCTATCTATCTATCTATCTCAATCTGTGCTTATATATCACAGCCTGTCACATCTATCTCTTTGACAATCTATTTATTTATCTATCTCAGGTTGTTCTTTATTTCTTTCTCTGTGAAAAATATATATATATATATATATATATATATATATATATATATATATATATATATATCAATCTGTGCTTATCTATCATAGCCTGTCACATCTATCTATCTATCTATCTATCTATCTATGTCATCTTCATATCATCTCTCTCAGTCTTTTTCTCTATCTATCATCTATCTATCTATCTATCTATCTGTCTATCTATCTATCTATCTGTGCTTATCTATCATAGCCTGTCACATCTATCTCTTTGTCAATCTATCTATCTATTTATCTATCTCAGGCTGTTCTTTATTTCTTTCTCTCTTCCTCTGTGAAAGTCTCTCTCTCTCTCTCTCTCTCTCTCTATCTGTCAGATCTTGTAAGATTGATGACAAAAAATACAGAAGAATGAAATCGCTATTCAGTAATCAAATGTACACCCAATGTAATCGCAGTTGGAGATATCAGATCTGCTTGAAGTGAAGTCAAAGACAAACAGTTTTCTCATGTTACCTCCTGAAGAAACGATCAAGACCAAGAAAGAAAAGGCAGAAACACGGCATGGAAGTAGCGGTTTTTACTACCAAGTCTATCGCAGAAAGAAGGCCTTTATAGAGAACGCTGGGAAAAAAAAGGTGTCCCAGTGTGCATAACACAGGGAAAAACTGCGCGCACGCGCTCTCACGCAGTCAACCGTCAGCACTCAAGCGGAAGTAGAGGGATGCCCGGCGGCAAAACGCTGCACAAAGCGACCGTGCTAAATACTATGAACATTTTTACCTCAGCGCCACCTGCCGTCAAGTAGGAAGAGATAGCTCTATTCAAGGAGGGAGGAAGGTTTGGTTGCTAAGCAAATGAGAGGATGTGTGTGTGAGAATTGCGGCAATGAGGTGCGGAGTGGAGAGGAGTCTTGTGTCACTACCGTCACCTGGGATTTGGGGGCGGGGGTGTCTTTTGTGGCGAACAGCCTTGTAGCGTTAGAGATCTTTTGATGATTAGAAAATTGTTGGCAGATAGAGACACACCATCGTCCATCATCTCGATACACATCCGTCAAATATTATACAACACTGTATTTTTACACACACACACGCATATATACATACATACATACATACATACATATATATATATATATATATATATATATATATATATATATATATAAATATATAATCGATTTTAGCCAATACAAAATGCGAGCAATACACATTTTGACTTCATCTATAAATGCTGAAATATATATTGTTGTAAGCAATTTTTTAATGGATTGGATTCGCTTATTGTTTAATTCCCACATAATTTATATATATATATATATATATATATATATATATATATATATATATATATATATATATATATATATATACCACTGACACCAATGCACCACTGACCCATATATATAAATCGCCGAGAAAAAAAAAAAACAACACTCGTGGCCTGACGATTGCGTCTAGCATGAAACAGCCTGTCGCCTCTAAGTGTTGACTTCAATGTTCACTTTTATATTTACGCACGATCTATCTCTGATATTGAGCACTTTATCCCACAAATATAACACACCTTAAGAGTATATTTCTTCATATATATATATAAAATATTTTGCATTTGCGACAGGGAAATTTCGCTGTTTCGGGATTTAATTTTTTTTTATCAGGCAATGTTCGGTACCTTTTGATGAAAATGATTTACTTCAGAAAACAAAAAAAGAACCCCCCCCGCAAAAAAAACAATCTTTTCTTTTTATGTGCCATGTCCTTTCCTCATTGTGTGTCCCAGAAACTTTAGCTGCCTCTTCGTGATGTTGAGTATAAGCCTCCTCCTTGTCTGCAACCTCTCTAAAACATCACCGTTGCGCACACGCTCGGACCATAATATCCTTAGCATACGTTTGCTTATTAAAGAGTTAGATAGGAGGGGGGAGCTAGATTTTAAAATTTTTAAATTTTACGTTGTAATGAAGCATTTTTTAAAATATTAAATAGTAAAGAACTATGAATTCTAAATCTGTTGGTTCTTCCTCTTCATTTATATATATATATATATATATATATATATATATATATATATATATATATATATATATATGTATGAATGAAGAAATATAGTTTTAAGGTATGCTATATTTATGGGATAAAGTGGTCAATAGAGATAGAGCGTATGTATGTTCACTTTTATATATATATATATATATATATATATATATATATATATATAAATGAAAAGAAAGAACCGTCAGATTTATAATCCAAAGTTCTTTAGCATTTATTTTTAAAACCAGTGCTCGATACAGAGTAGAGCATAATATAATATTATTATTTAAAAATATGTTTTCATCGCGTCGCAGAAATTAACATGTTTCAGAATTAAAAACTAAACTTTAAATTAAACTTAAACTTAAAGTTTTTGTTCCATTCCCAAGCGATGTTGGATAACTTTCGAAAAATGATTTATATATATTAAGACATTTTTATGTTTAGACATTCTTTTTTTATAGATACCAATATTTAAGTAAATGCTCTGTTTTATAATAAACAGTATTAATAACATTTACTTAAATATTTGCATCCATAAAAAAGAATGTATAAATAGCAGAATGTCTTAAAATAATTGTCGGACTTTGTCCATTTCATAATGTGTGGCGTCATTTGTTTACATTTGGATACGCATCAAGCAGATATGGATATACGTGAGAGATTCATGGAAGATTGTTTTTTAAAAACAGTAAAATCGACCTTGCTAACTGAAACGCTCCTCTGTGGCGAAATCGGTAAAAGCAAGTCAGGCTATATGGCGGTTTCGTATAGGATACAGGTTCGATTCCTCTCTGAGGACGCATATATTCTATAACAATTCGGTCATTCAGGCCGGTAAATATCGTTAATACTGTTTATTATAAACAGAACATTTACTTAAATATTTGTATGTATAAAACAGATTGTAAAACATAACACTGTCTTAAAATAATTGTTTTGTTCATTTCATTGTTATATATATATATATATATATATATATATATATATATATATATATATATGTGTGTGTGTGTGTATATATATATATATGTGTGTGTGTTTGTGTATGCTTGTTTGCATGATGTATAACAGTATCCAAATAAAAATTGAAGATGATAAGATAAAATTTATTTCCTCATATATATATATATATATATATATATGAGAATATAATATGTACATTTCTATATACCAGAACAATGTCAGGTAATTGGATGACAAAATCTTTTAACGAGCCAAAACACCAGACACTTATATAATATTCGATTTGAGAAAATATAATTTAGGATTTCTCGAATGCGCTGGCCGAGGAAAGTAATACACACTTTTTAAAACAAGAATGAAAATGAGGCGTCTTTTCAAATCTAATCTACTACAATAACATTTGAAGCAATAAAATTGTGATATATATATATATATATATATATATATATATATATATATATATATATATATATATATATATATATTAAAAAAAATAGATTGGTCGTCCACTCGTAGTAGGGCATCAAGCCAATCCCTGTTGCAGACGCATTTGTGTTTGTTCAACTCCCAGAGGCCACCTGTGGTTTATACTGCAACTGCGCCGAGCGAATCTTACAGTTTCTGAGAGAGGGCTTTATCTCGCGTGATCGATAGTCTGACCAAGGCCAGCAGGTTCAAATTCTCGGTCACGATGGCTTGAAACCCAAAGAGTTCCGTTCTCCCATTTTCACTCACAATTAGCATTATGGTTTTCAGGCATTTTCTAAAGGTGCCGCACACTGGGATCGTCTACTCCAGATCGAAAACGTCAAGAAGTTACCTTCTTGAGAAATCGACCACAGTGAGATTCGAACCCGAGTCTCATGGTCAGAAAGCGATATATATATATATATTTGTTTTATATATATATATATATATATATATATATATATATATATATATATATATTTTATATATATATATATATATATATATATATATATATATATAAAAAAAGTCCAAAATTTAATTCGTATTTTTAACCCATTAATAACCACTGCAAAATTCAGTAATAATTTAAAAATAATCCATCATTTTTATTACTTCAACCGTTATTTTTAGTCGATACCCGTATTTGAGTAGCCGCCTTGTTTTTGTTTACTTTTTGTTCGCACAAAACAAAAAAATAAAAAATATAAAAAATTAAGAATTTGTAGCCGCGAGGTCGGAATTCGATTTTGAATCATATCACCTCTCGCTCTTTTAAGAACTCGAAACGTTACAAATCCAACGTTTCTGCGATTATCAGCGATAATTGAAAACATGTCATAAACACACCGAACGAGGAATTCGCTTCCTTAAGCAGATTTCGGTATCTCCGAACAGCCTTGATTTAACAGGCGATACGGGTGTAGATATAAGCGATTGTCAGGTAGCGACCATAGTTATAGTCCATTGATCAATACGTCAGAACTTTAGAACACGGAAACAAAAGCTAACGGATTAGCTTTGAGTATCAAAACAGATACTTGTCAATGGTGTGTATTTCTATTTAAGAAAGAACATACACAATGCTTAACCTATAAAAATTGTTCCGCACAAAAATAAATATATATTTTCTTAAGACATTTTTCTTTTTCCTTTTCATAATGTATGACGTCATTTGTTTACATTTGGATACGCACTGAGCAGATATGAATGAATGAGAAAAAATCATGGAGAATTGTGTTTAAAAACAGTAAAATCGACCTTGCTAACCGAACGCTCCTCTGTGGCCCAATCGGTTAAGGCACGTCAGGCTATATGACGGTTCTGTATAGGATACAGGTCCGATTCTTGTCGCAGGATGCATATTTTCTATAAAAATTTCTAGGACATTCAGGCCGGTAAATGTTTAATACTGTTTATTATAAACAGAGCATTTACTTAAATATTTGTATCTATAAAAAGAATGTATAAACATAAAAATGTCTTAATATAATTGTCGGACATTGACCATTTCATAATGTGTGACGTCATTTGTTTACATTTGATACATCATGAGCAGGTATGAATGTACGTGAGAGATTCATGGAAGATTAAAGTTTAAAGACATTAAATTCGACCTTGCTAATCGAACGATCCTCTGTGACCTAATTGGTAAAGGCATGTCAAGCTAAGAGACGGCTCCGTATAGGATACAGGTCCGATTACTGTCAGAGGACGCATATTTTCTATGACAATTTCTCGGACATTCAGACCGGTAAATGTTGTTAATACTGTTTATTATAAACAGAGCATTTACTTAAATATTTGTATCTATAAAAAAAAAAAAAAACGTATAAAAAAAAATGTCTTAAAAAATAATTGTCGGACTTTGTCCATTTCATAATATATATTTTCCTCTTAAGTTTAACGTATCTTTACTTCAGTTGTATAATATAAACAATTCTTCTAGGTCGTTAAGAAGACAATGCTTCATAATGTCTTATAGACAGGTCTCATGAGATCATAAAAAAGAACATTACCAAATAACAAAAACTACATAACTTGAATATTCCCCTACAGTTGCAACAAAGTAAAATGGATAAAACATGTCGCTAAAAGTTATTGTGGAGTTACCCCACTTACTTTTCTAACAAAAAACACCACTAGGGGACGCTTTCAGAACCTATAAATACGCTGATATTTTTTACCATTCATTTTTTCCTATTTTCCTTAGACACGCGAGAATGTAGATCTATCGTGAAAATGCTTTTCCCATTGGAATGAACACACGCCCGTACGTACGCAACTCCATTTTACTTCATTCTTCCTAGGATTTTTACACACATTTTAAATACACGAACAATTCATTACTCTTTAAGTGTTTCATGTATGTACATTATTTTGTCAGATACGTATAATATCATTATCTTTGTCGCTCGCACTAATGTAACGTATTATCTTGTTAATAATACATTATGGTTTGTTGGTACATATATATTGGTTTTAGCTGCTTCTTTCTATTTTATTATCCGGACTCACATAACGAGTCCTCATTTTTCTTGTGGGATAAACATTCCATGAGACACGTGTTTTCCTTTTAACTTAAATACCAACGTACATACCTCCCGCAACAAAGAGAAAAATATTATATTTACAAGATGTTAACTTTATACACTACCAAGACAAAAAGGTTAGGAGGGGAATTCCTCTTATTAATAGAAAGGACGATAATAGTAGATTTGAGAAGCCCATTTTCCAGTAAAACTGTTTTAAAAGAAAGATTTTATAAATTTCACCCGGCAGTAAGGTCAACTGTTTGACCTTTGAATGGCAAATGTTGAAAGAAAGTTGAACAAAGG